AATCCAGCCTCTAGAAAAGCACATTTTCCACTCAGGACTCCACCCCACATCTTCCACACATCCCCGGGCTGTTGCAGCTCCAGCAGCTCCAAAGAGCAAAGCCCTTTGTACCTCCTACTTCACCAAGGTGCTGTAAGTGTCAGATATATTTAAGAGCATGAAGCATTCAGATACTATGGAAACCAGGGCAAGAGAAAAACCAAAAATAGATGGAAGACGCAAGCTGTTGTAAGATCTGGAAAAGCCTTGCTGAGGAAGGCTGTGCTTGCTGCAGCTGATTGCAGAGTGGGATCCATTTAGAGCTCGAGCATAAAATATCCTTTCCCCAATCTTTCTGTAGTTTGTCATTTTTCTCTGCCACAGGGAAAGGGATATTCTTTGACTTCCCCTCTATTTAACAGGCCTCCTAATTACCAGTTCCTTTGAATGATTCATATTCTAGCGTGCCCTTCCCATGACCTGGAGTACACTGCTGCCTGACTGCTTCTGTAAAGCAGGAGTATTTGGGAACACACCATGAGAAAAAACCACCACAGAGCACTCTCCTAAAAGGGAAATCCAACAGAAACCTACAGAAGAAGGGTGCCTGGAACTGAGTTGTTTGTTTGCCTCTCCTTTTAATAATCTTTTTTAACACCTGTGTTGTGCCTATTCAACCTCTACAGACAAATCAGTTGCTAAAGCAGAATAATACCTTCACTCAAAAAAACCAGAATGGCACATGGAGGAAACACAGAGGCTGCCAGCATGAGGAGTACAAACCATCTGAGTCAAAGATGGTCAATCAAATGGAAGTCAGTAACAGCACTTCAGCATCCCTATCAAGAACTACTCAGGGCTACCACAGAAGCACCATCTGAGAATAAAAACTCAAATTCCCTTTCACGAGTCCCACAGTCCCTTATGGGCTACTCTCTAGTACAAATTCCCCCTCACATGAGCTGGGAAGAAATTCCAGGAGAAGTTAACTCCTCACAGCAGTTAAAACCATCCATTGGACTGCCCAAAGGAAATAATGCCAGCTCTTGCTCTGTTAAAGAGAAACCAAAACTGTGTGGCTTAAACAATAAAGCAGAATTGGTTTCTTTTTAGATTCAGCAGAGATAAGGTCCTTATGTCCTGCCTCTCTCCCTTACAAAACAGACACTGTAGCAAAATTGTTGCAGGAGTTTCCAGTCAGGTATTGTGAGCTTTTTCCTTTTGGGTTTGTTAAGAATCACACCCAAGAACTGGGGCCCAAGCTTCATCAGGGGTCAAGAACTCTCCAGAAAACAGCTGAAACATTTAAATTAAAAAACATTTCTTCATGATCTCTATTTTAACTGAACAGATCTTGTATCTTACATTGTGGGTGTGTTTTTTCCCACCTGGAAGGAGTCCACTATGCTCCTTTCCCTCTCTCCTCCCAATGGCAGAGAAAAGCTCAAGGGCTTTGCTTCCCATTTCCATTATAGAATACACAGTTCCCTGTAAGAGAGTAATTTATACTTGTAAATTCTCTGAAAGAAATTAATTTCTGGAATGAAAACAATGCTTAGTCATGCAATAGGTTGGAGTTGATGAACTCAGAGGTCTTTTCCAACCTAATTGATTCTGTGAAGCTGAAACAAATTCATCTGCCCTCACACAAAAATCTATAGCAAGGACCAAAGGGTTCCTCAAGAAACCCCACACTGACTCAATTTTTGCTAGGCACAACCCACAGGACAGGTGAAAAGAATCCAAGGCCTGTGAAATTCCAGGCAGGTTGGCAAAATCACAGTGAAAATCCCAAAGCAAAAAGGATAAGGTAAGTGTGGCTCATCAGCTGAAAAGCTCTAGGGAAAGATGTGTCCTTCTCCACCTGCCTTTTGCCTGCACCACACACTCAGGTAGTGCTGCTCTGATGGACACTCAAGTGATAAAGTGCCAGGATATCACATCATGAAACACTTGCCAAAAAAATAAGGGAACACCCAACAGCAGCAGTGGAGCACCTTGGTAAGGATTGGGAAGGTTTTGAACCTTTCTGTCCCCAGCTGCAGGGAAGGAAAAATGGATTTACCTCTGAGATGTTCTCCCTGCCAAGCACAGAGCCACCATTACAGATTAGGGACAAACACACAAAATGTCACCTTTTTGACAAAGGTGTGACCAGTACAAAACCACAATTTTGTCAGCTAGCAGGGGGACACAAGGAAACATCAGGGCCGGTGTTTTCAGCCTCCCCTCCTCCACCATGCAGCTCTGCCCCTGCCAAAAGCCACAGAAAGGACTGGTGGTCAAACAATTCTGCACAGCAGCTTCCTGCACTGCTCTGGGCTGTCCTGCCGAGCCCAGGCCTCACTGGAGGCTTGCACTCATCCTTTGTGCTTTTCTTCAGCTGCTGCCACCAGGCTGAGAAAGCACTGAGCCCTCCAGTGAGGTTTTGCCAGCTCCCAGTCCCTCCGTGTGGCATGCAGAGGACTCCCTGCATCGAGAGCCAGGCTAAATTGGAATTGGTGGCTGCCACAGCCCCAGTCTTCATCCAGGGAAGGCAGCTGGACCTTCTTCCCCTCTGCTTTCACACCACCCTTCCTGTTAGTGAAGAACTCCCTGGTCTCCACAAGGACCTTCCCTTCAAAGCAGGGCACTGACATAATTATAGGTTGGACTCGGTGATCTCAAAGGTCTTTTCCAGCCTAGTTAATTCTGTGATTCTGTAATAAGGACACGACAGAGCCTGTGTTAAACCCAGCCCTGCCACAAGCTGCCCCTCAGCCTTTTGCTCCGTGTGCCAGAGGGCTGTGATGGTACAGGGAGCACCTCAGCTCCAAAAATGCTCTGTTACAAGCAGAGGAGGTAGAGGGGAGATCTGTGTAGGGAGAACAATGATGACACATTTCTAGAGCAGCTCTTTGCTCTCCATTGCTGGAATACACCCTCCTCTTCACTGCCTTGTCCCAGCGTTCTTCTGTCACCTTCCGAGGGCTGCCCTTTGTTTTCAACTTTTTCCTCTGACTTCGAAGACATTTCTTTCTTTCTAGGAAGACACATCACCACTTGGAACAGCCTGGTCCGAGGAGCCGGGACCTCGGCATCCTCCTGCACCTCGGCATCCCCAGCACGGACAGGCAGCCGCGTGTCCCCGCCGCCGGCAGGGGAGAGGAGCCCTGGGACGGATGGAACGGGGATGCCGAGGCCGCACCTGTGCAGGTGTGCGAGGGCCGAGAGCCCCGCTCGACATCCCGGGCCTGGCACCGGGAGATGCTCCCATGGCCTCGGGACGTGCGGGCAGCGGGCGGGGCTGCCGGTGTCACTGTCCCGTGTCACTGTCCCGTGTCACCGCGGGGACACCTCACAGCCCCGTGTCACTGTCCTGTGTCACCGCGGGGACACCGCACAGCTCCATATCACTGCCCCGTGTCACTGTCCCGTGTAACCACTCCCAGTCACTGCGGGGACACCGCAGTACCGTGTCACTGTCCTGTGTCATCGCTCTGTATCACCTTGGGGACACCGCACAGCCCCGTGTCACTGTCCCGTGTCACTGCTCTGTGTCACCCTGGGGACACCGCACAGCCCCATGTCACTGTCCCGTGTCACCGCCCAGCCCCACACGCCGCCGGCTCTGGCCAAGGAGAAGCCCTCGGACAGGACACTCGGCATCAGGATGAGCACAGGTCCAGCTCTCCACGTCCGGGTCACTTCGCCACTCCACAGCTCTGACCACGACTTGGACAAACTCACGCTCAGGGAACAGATCTCGCACTGCGTGTAATTGGAATCAAGAGTTTAGTGTTCACAGAGGCTTTGGGTAAGGACACAGGCACAACAATCTCCATGAGCACGCAGTGCTGGCTGCTGAGGTCACCAGGTTTTCACAGTACCAAAGCTGTTTTGCATAGAAACTTTAATTGCTTCACATGAGCACAAACCTTTGGAATAAACAGGAATTTGCTCACCTCAAGGTGCTGAAATCATGCTTGGAGTGTGTAAATGTTTTCTGTCATACTACTTTACTTTTGACTAAACAGGATGAAGCTTTTAAATACATAGATTTTCTCCCATTTTGTAGAGGTCTATTCCTCCAAATAATGCAAGGAGATTCCATTTTTTTGAGCAAATAGTTCTCTGACAAATCTATTCATCAAACCTATTCACTTGGTTTATTTTCCAAGGGAAAAGGGACAAACAAATAAAAAAAAAAGTTAAAATACTTAAATATTATTACATTTATAGTCCTAAAATATGTAAATCAACTGCATTGAATTTTCTATTAGCTTTTAAATATCCACCTCAATATACATTTGTTCTTCAGGGCACACAAGAGATAAATAATCGAATTAACATTGCTAGATAAATCAAATCTTTTTCCTGAGCTGCAAATATTCCAGATTATAACCTTGAAGTTGCTATGCAGTAACTACAAATGGAAACTAAACAGATCAAAGTGAGCAAGCAGGAGTCCACACTCAAGTACCCAGAGGCCCAATTTTCTGAGACACCCAGGAGCAGCCCCAGCATTTCAGATTGGTGAGTCAAGACCAAATGAAATGCAAAACCCATCTTAAACACGGGGTGCAGGAGCAGCCTGGGATTTGGGTTTGGGCCACGAACAATGTAAGAGCATGAGATTTAAAACAAACAAAACACCCTCAAAACCAAGCCCCACAGCAATTTTGGGTATAGCTGTGGTTTTGAATGTCTAAACAGATTGTGGTGACTTTCAGCCACAGATAGTGGGAGACTTAATTCCATTCTGGCTTCAGAATTTTCTCTGCACGGAGTAGAGGAGTTCATATTGCACAGCATTACTTCTCTCCCAACAATAAACCAACCCCTCTCATTTGGGAGATAAACTACAATAATCTAAATTACTCCCATACAGTTCCCAATAGTGCCCATGCAGATGGACAGAAGGAATTAACAGCTTCAGTTAAACCTTGCTGGCAAAACAGTTGTTTTATGAGCTGCAGACTCTGACAGCACCAGGACAACAGGTGAAGTCAGATAAATAGCAAAGAAAATGTTTTTTTGGCTAGGACTAACAACTGCTAGCCACTCGTGTGGATATAAAGCTTTCCATGCTCTTCCCTACAGGCCAAGCAAACTCCTCAAAAAAAGGGGATAGGTAAAAATAAGAGCAACAAGAATCAGCTACACAGAGCTCTTCTGCAATGTTGTGGAGAACTTTTATTTTGTCACAACACCTGCTGTGTTGGTGACTGAACTGATCAGTCATGCTGCAGTGCAGATCAGCTCCAGGGGCTTTTTGCAAGCTTCTCTGTTGACTTACCCAAGGAAATAACAATGTGGGAACTAAGTTCAGTCCCAGGATGGGCACTCTGCTCCAGCTCTGAGGAAGTGGGATTTTAAATGCAATCCCAGGAAGGGCACTCTGCTCCAGCTCTGAGGAAATTTGGATTAAAATTCAATCCCAGGATGGGCACTCTGCTCCAGCTCTGAGGAAATTTGGATTAAAATTCAATCCCAGGATGGGCACTCTGCTCCAGCTATGAGGAAGTTGGGGTTTGACTATCTTAGATTTGAGCATATATGTTTCAGTGCACGTGCACTTTGATCTAAAGCTGAAACTTTTATCTGTCGAAAAAGCTACTTTTTATGGCAGCCAGGGAGAGATACAAAAGGATTACAGGACAAACTAACCTTGTGTGGGAGAGCAATGTACCATCCCAACTGTCCCTCAGGTTTATGAACTCCTCAATCTTATCCATCTTTTTTTTAGGTTGTTTCCCCTGGCTTCTAGCACTGCATCAGGAGTGTTAACAGTTCATTGCTGAGACCACACAGAGCTAAGGTGTTTTCTTTGTGCTACAGCCTCTGCAAACAGACTGGGTGGAAGTTTTTGACTCTGAACTTTGAGCTTCTCATGTGGAAGACTGAAAGCTGACAGTTTTCACAGCAAGGAACAAGCTCCAGGTCTGTTCTGTTTGCTCTTGCCCACTACTGGCAAATTTCACACACATCAACTCCAGCTGCAGCAGCATTGCTAATATTATTTTTCTATTTTTCTCAGCAAAGCAACAGAGTTAATCATTAAGACTGATGAAATAATCTGCTAGACTGGAGGGAACACCACTTCCTTAAAGTGTTAACACACCAGAAATGGATGCTGCAGCTGCAGGACTCAAACTACTCCCAGATATTCAGAGCCTACAGAGTTCTTCAGAGAGTCACTGTACCATGCATGTTCCAAACCTACCCAGCCCAGGGCAGGCAGCTTCTCAGGGCACAGCAGATGCAGTCTCTATGGGCAGAGCATAAAAACCAGTGGAAAACAATCAAGGCTTGCCTTCCAGCCACTCCAGCAACTTCTGAAGTCATTATAAATTCATTTGGCAGAAGAGTGCCATGAGCACTTCATGCATGCAGAGAGACACATTTGAAATGAGAACTCAAAAGATCAGGAAAAGGCAAGTTTCCCTGCGTGGCTGATAGTTCTGGAGTGCTTGGAACCATGCTGACACCATGGTGAGCCACTGACACCAGCAGGCTTTCCTGGAAAAGACAATACCCTTTTCAAAGAACAAGTTGCTACATATTTAAAGTAGCAGAAAGGACACATCATGGGGTAAGGGTACTCCAAGGAGGAGATTATGGTAAAATAAACAAAGGAGGATGGAAATCAGTGCTTTGGTGCCCATCCAAAGGACAGTGACTGGCCACAACAACCCCTTTTCTAACAAGCACATGCACAGCAGATATGTGCAAACAGGAATGCACAGCTGGAATTTTCCTTGCATATACAAAAAAAAAGGTGTGTTCACCTCAATTCAAAAATAGCTTTTCAGCCTCTCTAAGATATGCTGCTTTAATTATAAATTGTAGCTTAAATTTTTTAAAAAGTATCACTGTGGCTTGTGAAGAGACCTCATGTACATAGCAAAGATTACAGAAAAGGACTCTAAACTGGCTGGGTGGCAGGACAGTGCTCAGGGTTATCTTCTAGAACTACAGCTAGCCTAGGGCTTGTAGTATCTCAATATATTTTCCAGTCTGAGCTGCTCTTGCTCTTGTTATCAACAGAACCAGCTTGTATAAGTACATGGAACAGCACAGAACATGATCCTGCAGCAGCTGGACATGGAACACCCCTCAAAAATCAAGCAAGAGTTTAGCACAGAGTGGTGGCAGCTGTGAACTGTTCAAGGTCCAAAAACCTCCAGAGAAATCAAGTACACAGAAAAATGCATCCTCCAAGAGAGACAGGAGAGAACCTGTCCCTGGCAAGAACCCTCATACCAGAAACTCATCTGAATCTTTCCTCATCCTGCTAAGAACAGCCAAGATCACTCAGTGCAGCTCCTAAAAGGGGGTGAGAGTTTGAACAAAATGCAAGAAGGTGCTTGCTGCAGACACTGCTTGCTCAGCACAACTCCCTAAAGCCAGGCAGTGAACTCAAGGGAAGAGGTGTCATAAGGAAACATGCTAATTGCATTCTTTAGTTGGCATGTGCACTTTTTGTTTTTTTCTTTTAAACAACTGCTCCAAGTCCTTGTTTGCTGGGCAGAGATACCAGGTCAGGCTGTAGGTTCAGTTTCCAGGCTGGCTGTGTGACAGTGTCCATGAAGGTGTTGGAGTTTGTGTTACACTCAGAGAAACTGCTCAGAATCAGACTGCAGGAATTGCTGAAGTCTCTCAGCCTCTCCCTCACCAAAATGCAAAAGAAAACCAGACATGGTGCAAGTCAGGGGAAGAAGGTGAAGAAAAAGCACTTCAAAGGTGCACAAGAGTTAAAATTTCATTTTCTTTATGCCTTCCTCCCCTCTATACAGTAGCAAAGAGGAGACAAAGGAAGAGGAACAGCAGGGTTCAGTGGAAGGCAGAAGGTTCCCAATGGGCTCACCGATGGCTCAGTGCTGCTGGGTGGGGGGGACTTGGTGCTTCACTGCTGCTTGGTTTTAAGGGATAATCTCTGGATCATCTTGTAAAGGAGACCAAAGTGCTGGAAACAGAAGAGAAAAAAAGTAACCATGACAGTTCTGAACACACAGAAAGCTGAGCAGAAGGCTTAAAACAATACCAGTGTGCAAATGCAGTGCCTTGTTTGCATCAACCACTCATCCTGAAGATGGAGTGGGACTTGATGGATGAGGAGGAATTATGACAAGGAAGCCAAATTATACAGAAATGATGGCTTACAGAAGTGTTTGTGCAGGTCTGTAACACCTCATTGTGAAGATGTGTTAAAGATTCCTTAATTTTATTTTTTTTCTGGGTGCAATTCTTTTCCTTCAGAAGGCAAGGGGAAAGCTTCAGATTACAACACATGCAGGTTCCTGGTCTCTATAGAAACACTGCTGCCAGCAGTTTCAGCCAGGTAAAAATGAACCAGGCAAACACAGAGATTCCCAGAAATTCACAATTCTTTAACTGGATCTTCTCTTTCACCATTTTCCCAGTGACTTGGAAATTCACTTAATTTTTCTTTTGTTTTTGCTGGGGTTGACTGTATTTTGATTTGATATTTGACAGACGTAACAAGACCCAGGCTTCAAATAATTACAAATTCAAATAACAAAAGTAATGAAGATTGCTAATAGAAATCAAAGTATGTTTTCCTCTTGTTTATATTCTTACACTGAGTTTTTAAATGCTTGTGGTTTCCCTAAAAAAAAATAGACATAAATAATACAAAATTATCAAAATTGAGAATGACCTAAAAAACTTCCCTTTCATTCATGTCCTTCATGAACCCAGGCAGGAACAAAGCCTTGCTCACGCTGTCACACTGATACAAAAATATTTCATTTAATTTGGCTGGCCAAGGCAGGGAGTATCACATTTCCAGAGGTATGGACACAGGATGTATTTATGGCTTCATTGAAAAAAGAAAGCAAAACTCTGAAGATGCATTTCTAAGCTGCATCCCAAGTTCAGGTATTTCCTAATAGTAAAGCTACAAATCTTTAAATTACCAAGGTAACTAAAATTTGTTCTAAAATTGCAGCTTGGAGACAAAATAGGTTAGCAAGTGAGTTATGCATGTCCTTGACTAAAAGAAATAGCTCTAAAAAACAGGTTTGCACTATAATGGCAAGACACTGCCTTCAGCAGAGCCAAGTGGCATTATTGTTCCAGCTTTAGTGCTGGCACTGTGTGAATTCCTGTATCTAACTTGTTTTATAAGGAAAATAAAATATCTGTGTCTCTTACCTGCACTGCAACATAGGCAACGCCAAGGTAGGCTGCAATACAGACAGCCAGGAGCAGGTCAAAGATTGCTGGCTTGACCCTGGAATAAGGAAAAGTGCACATGAGATTGCTCCAGCAGTTCCTGCCAGGGGGGAGACAACAGCCCAGCATGCCCAAGGGAATTCCATACCTGTATGCATTCATCACCTGCTTCAGCTGGTCATAGAAAACAAACTCGGGGTCCCTGTGCAAAGGAGAAATTTTTCAGATTCTGCTTCTTGACCCTGCAGTCAGGACAGCCCAGAGCTGCTCCCAAGGAGTTCACCCAACCAAAGACAGGTAAGCATGACCACCTCCCACACTGGTTTTGAGCTGATTTTAGTCATCAGGACTTTCTTTTCCTACAGTCAGAAGCCCAAGAACACAATTCAGAACTCATGCTGTTGTTCAGCTGTCTCCAAAGAGGCTGAACATGAAAGATTCCTCCCTCTGTTCACTGAAACAGCTTCAGCCCAAGCAGATTCAACAGGATAGAAGCTGCCTTTTTGGAATTAACCAAAACTTTTCTCCTGCTCTCAGAGTGGGAACAGTGGAACCAAAAGAGTTTAAAAACAAGCTTTTCAGACAGAGGGAGCTGCTGGGTCTTGTTCCTGTGCTGTGAGGAATCATGAGCAGCTTTCCCTGGGAGAACACCAAGCATGAACCAAAACTGACAGGAGAGCAGAAAAGAGCAAAGCTGCATATCATGAAACCAGGAAAGCTGCAGCTCAGAGACAAAATGCTGTCCAGGAGGAAGAAGCCAGTTTGCATGTCCTGACTGGTTCTTTCATGTTTTTCTCACCGTTTGTCTGCCTTCACGTGATGCTGCTTGACATCCTTCAGGTAGCGTCCCATGCAATACTCTAAGGTGTTGAGGAAGGTGCTGTCCTTATCAATCAGCTGGGCAGCCCTGGGCTGACTGCTCAGCCAGTCCATCACTGACTCCAGTTGCTCCTGCTGGATTTGCTGCACAAAAATACCACCAGAGAAAAGGAGTCAACCACACACCAGAGCTCTCTCCCAGACTCTAGTTTTCATAGGTTACAAAAATGATGCACTGTGCTTACCATCTGATCTGTGAAGATCTGCATATCTGCAGGTGCTCCCTGCAAGGGAAAATGAAAAGAACCAGCTCAGGTTATTGTTGAGTTTGGCTGGGCAGGACAAGTCTGGCCAGCACAGCACAGTGGGTACCTCTTACCTTTTCTGTTAGGTTGTAGATGACCCTTGTCAAAGCCTCAGCAATGATCTGAGTGTTTCTGGTCAGTGCTTTAGTGTCTATTCGTGCCCTAAAGCAAAAGAGGGGATTATGGATTTGCTAGTGGCTTTCTCTAGAAACACCTTTTCCACTGCATCAGGCATGAACCTGAACCCAGAGCCCAACTCCCAATGTTTGCCACCTGTGCCCTGACCATGAGAACAGCACGTGGCTGCTCTGCTCAGCAGTTGTGAGGCCAGTTTGTGTTTCTGGGCAGGACCAAAGGGCAGCCCTCACCTCCTGTCCATGATGCTGTTGCGCAGGCTGTCCCGGTGGCTCTCCAGGTGTGAGATGGTGAAGGCCGGCAGGCGCCGGATCGCGAAGCGCTCGTGCTCCCAGGCCAGCATGTCCTCAGCCAGGTTGATCTTCTTGTGCACCATGGAAAACTTCACCTCCGGGAACTGGTTGGCAACAACCTGAGGACAAGGGCAGGCCATTCAGGGGTGCTGCCCACTGCAGAGTGCCACCCTGCACTGCCCTGTGTGCTGCAGAATGTAAGGTGCAGTTATTGACATCACTAAAGCTGGATTTTCAGGACAGAAAGAGCTGGTTTAATGTCTGTACAGGGGAGCATTTGGAGACCTAGTCTGCTTCATTTGAGACTGTGAATGAGGATTTGTCTGCCCTTCAAATCAAGTGACCCTAAACAATACACGAATTATTTCAATAGCACACCCTTTCTTCACATCTTCCTTCCTCTCATGGAGAGCTGTATAGTAAGTCCCACGTTCCCATGAACCTAAAATGCTTTTCCTTACCGTCTCCAGTTCTCTCAGAAATGCATGCTGCAAGGTGCCCTCCTTGGGAGGCTTTGAGACATGAAGATGAAGGCTATTGCCTCTGCCCAGAGTGTCAAGGCAGAGAACAAATGCTACATTGTCCTGCAGCAGGCTGGAATCTGGAACAGAAAAATCCAAACCTTTATTGCTACATCAGGTGCTGGGATTTCCACCCTCCAAAAAAAGCAAGGCTCACACAAGGAGATCCTCACAGGAGAGCTGACAATTAATTATAGCCATTTAACACAACTAGCCCCCTACTCACCAGTGTGGTCCAGATTGTCCTCCAGCCACCTCTTAGTTCCTTGGTAATTAAACTTGCCACCTCCAGATGCAAAGAACAGCAAGTTATACCTGCCCATCAAAGAAAACAGAAAAGGGTCAGCATGCTGCACTCCAAGAATTCCTACACTCAGCCTTGGAGGTGTGGTGAAATCACAACCACTTGCACCTGACATCCAAGGCAAACTGTCCATTAGGAAACGCTTCCCACACGCCACCTACTCAGGGAATGGGAAGACAGACTAAAAGTGGGGAGCTCCCAGTGCTTGAGGATGGAATCTGCTTCCCACATCATCCCCTCCACTTGTCAGCTACACACATTTAACCCCAAACAGAGCAGTTCTTTACCCAGCATGGGTCCTTCTGTAGGTGTAGAGCCGAGAGAACAGCCTGGCCAGTTCCAGCAGCACTGAGATCCCACTGCCATTGGAGTCAGCCCCATGGGACAGCCACTGCAGGGTGAAGTGGGACAGACACAAGGTGACAAATCTACACTGACTTTCAGGTACCAGAACAGCTGCAAGACAGCACAGCACTGTGCTCCACTTGTAACTGTCCCACAGCCTTAAGGCCAAGAAAAGACACATGGGCAGAGGGAAAAAGGACAGGAATAGAGCTGCAGGAAGAAGGAATACTCACTGGAGCCACTCCAAAGGAATCATAGTGGGCAACTATCACAACAGTGGGCAAGTCTTCTCCACCCAGCCCTGTCAGCCTTCCCTGCAGAGGAAAGAGAGCTGTGTCACTCCCCATCACCTCTTGTGTGCCTGTACAAGGACAGCTTGACTTCTACATTCCTGCTGAGCCTGCCTTGGCCTCAGCTGTGAGGAGTTCAGCTACCTGGCTGAGATCCCCTCACCTGCCCTGTCAGACCCAATGTCTGATAAAGTCCTGGTAAAAGAAGTCACCTCATCAATGCTGCCAGTTTGAATCCACACACAACTCACCTCCACACTGGGGATGAGCCAGTCATTGATAGCTTTGCTTTGAGCCCCGCTGGTCACCATCTGGAAGCCATTGGCAGTTGCTGTGTGCAGCAGAACTGAAACAAAAGCACCAAAAAAACCCCACAATGTACATCTGGGGAAGTTTCATCCCCTCCTCTTCCCTGGTAACCGAACTTTGGAGAGACCAGCTTTAAACCATTTAAGCCCTCTCACTTGTCACTGGTGTTTATGCAATGACACAGAATCTTGGTGATCGTGCTTTTTCTTTCTGTCCCAAAATCCCAGTATTTTGGGCTGGTCAAAAACTTTTCCCCAGCAGTACAAAAATTAGTCATAAGCAGCAAGTCAATAAGACAGTCATATTATTTACATGAAAGCATCAAACTGACTTGTGGTCAGACAAAAAGCCTCGGTTTCTACCAACACACCACTTAACACTTTCAATGTTGTTTTTAACCTAGTTTTGATTTCTACTTTACTTGCAACAGCTGAGAACCTCCTGCAACTCTATGTCCAAATATAGTCAAGTAATGTTTTCTTATACTGTGCTTTTCTTCCACTGAATCTCTAAACACTTTGACAAAGACAGAATAAACACAAAGGTGACAGAAGCCTGGTTCGTGATGCAGATGACACAGCAGACTCCTCCCAGAGGTGGGAACAGGCCTGTCTTCCCCAGAACTTTTTCCTCCTTGTTAGAACTCACCTTCTGCAGCTGAGGCAGAACCCTGTGATGCAGAAGCAGCCCGTGTTTGTTCATAGATAGACAGCAGCTCCTCATCTTCCACTGCAAAGTAGACTGGCACAATGGTTTCCATAGCGAGCATTTCTGGCTCTATCTCCATGAATTGCTGAGGATTTAAGCGAGACACAAACTTAGCATCTGCTAAACACGAGAGGTGTCAAGAAAAAATTAACAACCAAAGCAGAGAGAGAAGAAATTAGAATACGATTCGTTGTACATTCCAACAGAAGCTTCCAGCCCTGCAGCAATCAAGCTTTTCTCCAATATACCTCCCACGGGAAGAGAAAGGAAACTTTTTTGTTTACCCTCACGACATCCTGGGGGACAGAGGAGATGGATCGTGGCAGGATGATCACCACAGCCCCGGCTGACTGGCGCAGAGCCTTCTGGTACTGCTCGTAGGAGAAGTCCACCAGGCGCATCATGACGCAGCGGCGGCTCAGCACGTCCGCTTCCACAGTGCGCGCCTCCGTGTTCAGCACCGCGCTCCTGGTGCCTGCCAGCAGGGAAAGCGAGAGGGCTGGTGAGGCACCGCACCCCATCCCCTCTGCTCCAGCCTGCCTCCTGCTCACAACGCTCCTGGGGACACCCTGATGGGCTGCAGAGAGGCCAGAAGCTGCAGAAAGCTGAGTTCGCCTCTTCCGAGGAGGAGCAGAGGTCTGTGGGTTTTCCTGCGCAGCCACGTCCTGCCAGACCCCCCTCATTCCACACAGCCTCACCTTCCAGTCTTCCTCCTCAGCACAACACACAGGCTGTTTGTCTGCTCACCTGCACCTAATACCTGAAGCCAGCAACACACCTGGAGACAGCCTGGCCTCTGCAGAGCCTCCCCCAGCTGCAGGATCAAGCTGTGCAGAACCATTTGATGAAAGGACACCAGATTTGGCACCCCAAGGACACCAGACTGCCCCCCGGCACCCCAAAAGCTGCTCTCACTCAGCCCCAAGGAAGGTTCTGTAGCTGGCTGAGTTACAGAAGAGCTGGCTGCTCCTGAGGGCTCGCCCTCTCCTACTCTCAGTGCCAGCAGATCAAATCCCCCACATGGAAATGCAATCCCCTGGGAGCACAGCAGGCTGCAGGCCTGCCAGAAGCTCCTGCACTTCCCAGGCAAGGGCCAAAAGGACGTCTTGTGCAAATAGAGAGGGTCAAATCCACTTTAAAATTTATAATTCAATTTCTTCTTCTGTAACTCTGCACCTCCACTGGAGATCTCATTGTTCTCCCCACACAGAGACAGATGAGGTGCTCCAGCCTCTGTCAAACAGGAGCATTGCTAAGAACTAGATTTAAGCCTGGCTTAGTTTAACTCTAACATTAGTTTGGTCTCATCAAAGGTAACAGAAACACCTAAACAAGAAAAATCTACATTTCCTCTGCACAGTAACAATGAGGGCCACACACCCAGAAACAAAGCCCAGGCACAATGGAAATTCTCCCCACAGACCTCTGGCACTAAATAAATAAATATTAACGTTTGACATCTAAGCAGAGCAGACACAACAGTATTTTTCTGACATGTTGATTTTCTGTAGCTTCTCTATACAGAGAATAAATACCTGTTACTTGGTATTTTTGGAAAAGAATATGAGAATCTGGAACAACAAACCAGCTCAGTTGGTCAGAGCATGGTGCTAATAATGCCAGGGTTATGGGTTTGATCCCTCTGTGGGTCATTTCCCTTGAGAGCTGGTGATTCTTGTGAGTCTCTTCCAACCCAGACTGCTCTGAAACACAGCTTTTATCCTGAAGGACATCTCAGAACACACAAGGAACAGGAAGAGCAGCTACCCAAAGGGAGCAGGAAGGGACAAAGGAAACACACAGCCCACGGAGCTAAAAGGCTCCAGGAAAAGAAACAGCATAAAAAAAGTTAATTGGAAGCATCTTAAAAAATAGCACCTGGCTTTTCAAGAGGTCACAAAATTGTGAGCACTTGGCTAGAGGGGACACTCAGGCAAGCAAACTCAAAGCCAGCTGACATCCCCATGCAAGGGCCTGCCTTGGAGCTACTGAAGCTGTCAAGAGAGCCCTCAAGATGTGGACACGTTCTGAGAAACTGTGAAGGAAGAATCCAGAAATAGTTTCATTTATTTAGAAGTCACCAGAAGCATGAAGTGTTTAAGGAGTAGACAGGCACAGCTGCATTTCATAACTTACATATTTGAACTTATTAAGATCTGAAAGAATGAGAGATGGTGTCTCATGGACAGCATATATTAAACGTGAGGCTGTTCACTATTAACTCTATAGCAAGAGTCACTCACAGACAGAGCACATGACCTGGCCTGGAATAAAATCTCTACAGAAAAGCCAGAAACAACCCTTGATTCTGGGTTTGTGGGCACACAGGGGAGAAGGCTGAGGGTTGCAGCACTTCAAGGACTCGCAGAACAGGGTGTGTCTCTGACCCAAAGACAGGTGTTGCACAATCAGCAGGCTGCAAGTAAGAGAACAGAGGAAGTAAAGGTCAGCTGTAACACGGGAAGGACGGGCTCTGAAATGGAGCCACTGGAGCAACACACAGAGCTGAGGATGAAAAGGATGAATAGCGAAGAGGAATCGACCTGTCAATAAAGGAGTCAAAGGCAAAAGGACAAAAATGAGCTCACAACCGAGTTTACCAGAATGCAGGAGGGATGCAGCTGGACCCCTCAAAACACAGAGCCCTCAGCCCATAGACAGGGGTCCTTGGCTATCTCTAGGTCACCACGATGGAGCTCTCAGCCCCTCTCCTGCTCGTGCTGAGCCTGGGCAGTGAAATTCAGGCAGACGGGACCCTCCTGCGGCCTCGCCTGGGCCTGGCCCCGGGCCCGGCTGCTGCCGCCTCCCAGAGCCCCCCGAGCCCTCCCGCGGCCTTCCCTAGGCCGGGCCGCCCTCCATGAGCCGCCCCCGGCTTCACGGCCTACCCTGGGCTCCTGCCCGGGGTCGGGGCTCCCTTCCCACAGCCCCAGCACCCCTGAAGGAGCCTCTGCCGGCAGGACCGAGCCCGGCCGGGCCGTGCAGTTCCTCACCATAGGGCTGCCCGCCCAGCTCGTACTGCTGCATGCGGTAGACCGTGAACTCGTGCGCCGCCTCGGCGGCGGGCGGCGGCCCCAGGAGCAGGAGCACGGCGGGCACGAAGAGCAGGACGCTGAGCGGGAGGCACGAGGCCTTGAGCACCGACTCCAGCACCTCACTCGCCTCCTCCAGCATCGCCGCGGCCCCGGCCCGCACTGCGGCCTGCTCGGCACGCACGGCGCGCCCCGCGCTGCATGCCGGGAGCTGTAGTTCGCGCGCCGCCGCGAGGGGCGCTGGGAATTGTAGTCGCGGCATCCCGTGCAGGCCGCGGTACCGCCTCGTCTCGGCCTGCAGGGGGCGCCTTCCCAGCGGCCTGGCGCTCCCGAGCGCCCCCCAGCGGGTGGGACGGGACGGGACGGGACGGGACCGGACGGGATGGGACGGGACGGGATGGGACGGGACGGGACGGGACGGGACGGGACGGGACGGGATGGGATGAACAGGACCAGACAGGAGGATCCTGCTGCCCCCTGAGCAGGGTGATCCCCTTGTCCCCAGAACAGGTGGGCAGCTCTAGCTGTACCCAGACTACAAAAGCATCTCCCAGGTAGTACCTGGGCTCCAGAGGGAAAAAAATCGAAGCAAATCAACCCAAGGCTTTCTGATCACCTTGATTTATTTCAAAACAAATGGACTGCACGCTCAGCTCCTGTAGAGGGGCTGGCCAGCAGATTTTGTATTAGTCCCCAGTGCTATGGTGGCCTTCTGGCACAGTGAGAGGAGGCATTTGGGTGCTGCTCTGATTTTTCGATACATGAGAGAACAGAAGATCAGGGATCTGAGGCACAAGCTGGCCATATCTTCAGGCCCAGGAGGCACCAGGCTCCCCAGCCTCTCTAGGCACCTCCTTCTGCCCATGCTTTGCCAGCCCTGTCACTGCAGCTCTGAGCACTGTCACAGCATTTGCCCTGGCTCAGTGCCCAGCCTCTGTCCCCCAGGGAGGCTCCGGGCTGTGGCTGCAGCCTCTGCCATCCTCGGGCTGAGCAAAACATCAAACTTGCATTCCTTCCCAGCAGCTATGCCCATCACAGACGGTCCAAAAGGATTCCAAACACTTGGGAGGGCCACCTGACTGGGGAAATTTACCCTATTTGCCACTGAGCCCTGAGGCAAAACACCCTTAGGCGGGCAGGTACAGCACCTGTGCACACCCAAAGCACACACACAGAACCTGAGCACTGCAGCTGTCCCAGCAGACCATCAATCCTGAAATGTGCCTGTACCTTTCACTCGCAACCTAGGAGCAATTCCTGTCCCTGAGGCACTGAAGCACCATCCCAATCTGATGGGGCTGGAAAGACTGGCCCCAGTTCTGCTCAGCCTGTCACTACAGTCCTGCCAGGCCAGGACCAGCACCATGAGGTCCTGGGGGCTGTCTGGCATCTCCTGCTCTCCCCGTGGCCCCTCACAGGCTGGGGAGATTGCTCATCATGCTGGAGTTGCTGGACAGAGGTGCCCTGGGCCGAGCATTCCAGGCCACGGAGCTGCGGAAGCTGTCCCGGTAGCGCAGGGAGCTCTCTGTGGAGGAGCCAGAATTGATGTCAGAGATGACCAGGCAGCTGCCAGGCTTGCAGAGCCCAGCCCTGACACAGCAGCAGCACAGCAGGCTCCCCACAGCACGGCGAACCTCCACGCTGCGCAGGGAATAAATGATGGGATTGACTCCCGAGTTCAGCAGGGCCAGAGCCAGGGTCCAGTCCAGGCTGTGCAGGTGGGTGCAGGCCCCGGTCTGGCAGAAAACATCAAAGAGCAGCAGGACAAAGAGGGGACTCCAGCAGAGGATGAAGGCCCCCAGGATCATCAGCACCGTCTTCAGCAAGCGCAGGGAGCGCTTGCGGCCGTGCCGGGAGCTGGTTTGCCTGGAGCTGGCCTGCACCAGGTGGAAGATGGAGATGTAGAGGCCGATGATGCCCAGGAGGATGATGCTGAACATGACCACGGAGAAGAGGATGTAGTTCTTGGAGTAGAGAGGCAGGAGCACGGAGCAGGCCTGGAAGTCACAGAGGCAGTTCCAGCCCAGCAGTGGCAGTAGCCCGATGACCAGGGCCAGCAGCCAGCAGGACACGATGAGGCCACGCAGGCGCAGGGTCTTGCTGGCCTCGTTCTCCGCGATCGGCCTCACCATGGCACTGTAGCGCTCCACGGCCGTCACCAGCAGGCTGAAGGTGGAGGCAGCCAAGGCGATGAAGAGGATGCCCTCCCTCAGGAACCAGAGCTGCGGGGAGAGCTGGAAGGTCCTGCTGCCCGACAGGCAGAGGTTGCACAGGTAGGCGATCCCTGCCAGCAGGTCGCTGAGGGTGATGCTGGCGATGCAGGAGTAGACCCAGCGCCGGCCCCGCAGGCAGCGCAGCACGGCCAGCAGCACCAGCAGGTTCTCCAGGATGATGATGCAGCTGATGATGGCGAAGGCCGTGCGGACCAGCCCCATGCCCTCGTCCCCAGACTGCCGGTTGGTGAGCTTGCCTGAGAAGTTGTAGTGCTGCAGGATGATGTTCACGTTCCTCGTGGCAGCCAGCTGCAGGCAGGAGGCTTTCGTGCCGAACAGGTCGAGTCTGAGCTCGGGATGTGGAGCAGAGTCCAGGGGAAGGAGGAGGGAGCGATTCACCAGCCAGCTCAGCACTGGAACATCCATCTTCCGAGGCTGGGTCAGCAGTCAAGGGTGCTCGACGGAGGAAGGGGTCAGGTAGGGCTTGGGGCAGAGCAGATCCTCTGTTTGAGGGCTGGAGCAGCTGTGAGGCTGAGCCCAGCAGCCCTGCTCAGCGTGGAGGTGAGAGTCAGAGCCCTGTCTGCCAGCTCTGCAGCACTGAAAGAGCAAGGGGAGAGGAGGGTGAGGTGTTTTGTAAGTCCACCCATGAGCATGAGCTTCCTGTTGTTTAATAAAGTTTCCTGTTGTGACTGAGAGTATTGACATCTCTTCTACCAGTTATCATAATTTCTTTGTAAGGGTCTGGTTATTCTCGGCTTTGCTGTGGTTGTGAAGGTGTGACATGAATGAAGCAACGTGCCCTCTTTGAGTTGGAGCAGGCTGTGTCAAATGGGGCAACACCTTGATGGGTGGAGTCTGTGGGGCTGAACAGATTCGAGTGCTGGTAAGAGCACTCAGACAGTTTGAGACACAAAATGCTTTGCCTGCTGTGGTACTCAGCTCACCCCTGAGCCTGGCAGAGAGCCACTGCCTCTCCCTCAGCTGCTGTGTGCACCACCCATGCCCAGATCCGTCCCTCTTCCTGTCACATCTCAGGGCTCCTCCACGGGCCCAGCTCCTGCCACTGTCTCAGAACACATCCAGACACATCCAGACACATCCATCCCCATCCTGCACTGTGTGTGCAGCAGCTCCAGGCACCTGTGGGGCTTTAGCTGAGCCTCACCCCTTCCACTTCAAAGGAAACCAGCTGGTCGAAGCCGAGCACGTGTCCTGACACTGCAAATACACCTTCAGCTCACCAAACATCTGCTAGAGATGGGTCAGGACCTTCCCACTGCCTCTTTTCACACAGGCATGGAAGGAGGCAAAAAGCTGCTGCTTCTCACCTTTGTAGGAGGCACAAGGTGCTGAGACCAGAACCAAGGAAGGAGAACATGGCTGCATTGTTCATTTCCATCATTGGCCTAATTCCTTATTAAAACTCGACGGAGAGCCCTAAAACGTGCAACTGTGGCTGGGAATTTGCCTTAGGACTCACCTGCCATGGCTTGTGGGAGGCTCTTGCTGTCCGAGAGAGGTTCAGCAGTGCTCTCCAGCTCTTTGTCTGAGGCCCAAAGTAGTGGGGACAGCTCTTTGTGCAAAATAAGTGAGGCTTCTACCTAGAAAAGTGAAAAAAGGGGAAGTTACAACATCAACCACATCTCTGTGCAGGGTGGACCCCACCCAAATCAGCTGCAAAGTGGCAGAGATAAAAGAAAAGCAGAGCGCCTTTGAACTCAGGGTCACAGCAGAAGCTGTGCCCTGCAGTACCTGTGCTCTCACTCCAGGCTGGCAGGAAGCCATGGAAATGTCCCAGGCTGAGAGAAAAGACCAGTGAGTTCTTCCATCAGCAGGGAGCTGTCCAGGGAGCCCATCCACCCCGGATCAGTGCATTGATCCCAGCCCCGATGGCAGCGCAGACAAGTGGAGAATGCAAGGGAGGCTCCTGCTGCAGCAGGAGTGCAAGCAAGAGTGGTTCTTGTGAAAAGCTGAGGGCTCCATGCTCCACCTTCACCCTTTCAGCTGGGGTTTTGGCCTTTTCTATCAGCAGTGTGGAAAGAAACTCACACTGATAAGGTCAGCAGATGACCCCGAGATTGAAGGAGCGGAAATGAGCAGCAGAGCTGGGCCATGAGGGCTCAGACAGGAGCAGGGCTGCACGCTCAGCACCAAGAGCTCGCTCCCAAACACTCCGGGTGATGCCCACAAATCACCAGAATCCAAAGGGTCACTGTGATCCTGGCACATCACCCCTTTGAGCTTTCCTCCTGCTTCAGAGTGAGCCTCCAGCTAATGTGTCTGTTCAGAACTGGTGGAATGTTCCTGAAAGATCAGAGGATGGAGAAACTTGCCTTGTCAGGGGCCCTAAGCAGCTTCTCAAAGAGCTGGCAATGTGTGAGGAGTCTCAGAGATTCCTGACAGGAGAGAGATCTGTGGAGAGGATGGGATGGGGGCAGGAAAACCCTTTGGATGGCAGGAGGAGGCAGAGGAGCTGCTGGCTCAGCTTGACCCCCACACCCTTGGTGTGCAGCTTCTCTGGACAGCAAAACATTGCAGGATCTTCCTAATGCCCCTTCCACAAACACATCCAAGCCGTGGAGTCCCCAGGTCACGACTGGGGGCTAATGGGACTGTTCTTGCCTGAGCCCCCACACGAGGGACAGTTCCTGTTCTGCCCTGTCCCTGTTGCTCTGCACAGTCCCAGGCTGAGCTCTGTCTCAGCACTTCTCCTTTGCTGCCATCTCAGTTCGCCTTTCTTTGAGGCGCAGTGGGATGGGAGGGACAGCAGCATTTCTCATCTCTCCCCGTCAGATCAAAGCCACAAACTGCCTGAAACTGCCTGATGGCTCAGAGTGCTGGGCTTGGAAGGGCCAGGGGAGGCACAGGGGGCAGCTGAAGCCCTGTGGACCTGCTCCAGCTCCATGGGTATTGATGGATGCTGAGATGAGGCAGCTCGGCAGACAAGCCCTGGAACCCTCCAGAGGTCAACAGAAAGGCCAAAATGCCTTGGGCTCAGAGAGAGGAACTTGTCTGCAGTCAAAGGAACAGCAGAGAGGAACAGGAGAGCAGCAGCCTGGAGCTCAGCTCCCTGTGTCCATGGCCTGTGGCCTGACCAGTCCCTCCTGTCCTGGGGCTGCTGCTGGAGGGTTTCCAGCCACAGATTGTGGGGGGCCACAAGCGACTTCAGGGGAAAGACAGCAAGTTACAAACACAAGATAAAATATTGATAATTTCTGTTGAGGTTTTCCTGCTGTGCTGTTGTACAGTTCTGATTAAACCTTGTATTTTCACACATTATGATTTAAAAAAAACCCAAAACATGGGCCAAGCTCAGAGGAGAGCTCTGTGTCAGGCAGCCCCCAGGCTGGCTCATGGACATCAGGCATCCCCCTCTCTGTCTCACACCTCTCCCTCCCCACCCACCCATCCTGTCCCCTCCTTGTGGCCCCAGCACAGCCCAAGGCATCCACTTGCCCGCAGGTGTTTTTCTGCTCCAGGAAGGGTGGAGTAGGACTTGTTTAAAAATGACTGATCACTCCTAGCAGTCGGGTGGTTGCACTTCCCCACTTTGGTCTCTTCTGCTGCAGGGTAGCACTTCTCACATCCCAGGCCCCAAGCTGGCAGGTGCTTCTGGCCCCAGAGGAGCCAAGAAGAACCAGCAAGGCCCCTCTGACCTGGGCTGACACCAAACCCTGCAGATCGGACTTTTCACAGCGCTCAAAAACTGTCCCAGGCACAGTTGTTGTTTCATTTAAATTGGGTGGTGGTGATGGTGGATGTCTGCAGAAAAAGAAGCTCTGCAGTGCATCTCTTGAAGAAAAACAAGAATATGAAAGAGCAAGTTTCAGGATTGTCTCCTCTAGACCAAATTCATGACTTTAAATGGCAAAGATTCGTTGGGGGTTTTTGTTTGGTTGGTTTGTTGTTGGTTTTTTTGTTTGTTTGTTTGGTTTGGTTTTTTTGTTTTGTTTTATTTTTTTAAGTGCCTTTTTTTTAGAACCTTGCATTTCCTCGAGGCAAAAACATTAAATAGAAAGTGTGGGAGAAATGTTAAATCACACCTCAAAACCACCACAGGACACCTCTTTCTTGCTGTCAGCATCCCTGTGCTGTGCCTGTGATGTGCCAGGCTCTGTCCTGTGCTATCTCCCATCAGTCACAGCCACTGGCACGTGGGCACTGAGCAGGCCAGGCCAGTGATGCCCTGATAAACACAATCAGCCCCATGCACATGGTTTCCTGGCTGCTGGGCACAGCTGCCTCCAGGCCATAAAACCACCCCCTGCCCACGGGGACACTCAAGACTTGCACACATCTGGAGAGGAGCATCCAGCTGTGGCAGAGATGCGCCAGCCCCAGCCATTGCTCACCCTGCTGCTGCTGCTCTGCTGCCCACGGGCCAGGGCCAGTAAGTCTGGGCTTTGCTGGGAGTGAGGTGGCTCTTTTGGGCTCTGAGCAGCCCCTGGCTCACCCTGTGCTGGGGTGTCTTGCAGGTGCTCTGCGGGCTCGGATTGTGGGGGGCCACGAGGCTCAGCCCCACTCCCACCCGTACATGGCGTACCTGAAGATAGCAGATCTGGGGGGCTGCGGGGGCTTCCTGGTGGCCCCCGACTGGGTGATGTCAGCTGCACACTGCATGGGGTGAGTACCTGATACAGCTTTATCCCCTTCTTTCTCCCCTAACCCGGGAGCTCCTTCCCTGGAGCCATTTTGGAGCAGGTTCCTCCTGTGCTGGGCAGCTCTCTCCACTTGTCTGCCAAAATGAGGGAGGTGGGTGACACCCAGCCTGATTTCCCCTTTCTCCCCTCCGCTGCCATGGCCAGGAATACCACAGTCATCCTGGGGGCTCACAACATCCAAGAACCAGAAAAAACCCAGCAGGTCCGGGGAGTCCTCAAGTACCACGAGCACCCTGAATACGACCCCGAAACGATGGAAAACGACATCATGCTGCTCCAGGCAAGCAGTTCTGTGGGGGGAGAGGGTGGGCTGGGGCTGTGGGGCAGGCAGGGGCTGGGCAGGGCTCAGCTTAGCTCCCGCTGCAAAGCTGCTTCTGCTCGAGGTGCTGGAGGCTGGCAGGATTGGGAGGGACCTGGGAAGGAGCCGTGGGCAGGGTTTGGAGCCTCATGTGGCTTTGACAGAAGCTCCCCGGAGCTGGCAGAGCCTGCTAGACCCTCCCTGCCTCTGCAAAGAAAGTGTCCTGCTCACAGGCCTCTCTCAACCCTCTGCTTTCCCCCAGCTAACATCAAAGGTCACTCTCAATGACTTCATCCAGCCCATCCCACTGCCCAAGAGCGGCAGGGACCTCCCCACGGGCACCAAGTGTGTGATCGCCGGCTGGGGGCTGATCGATGAGGACAGGGCCACCAACAAACTCTTTGAGACCAAAGTCTCCATCTACAGCCGCAGGAAATGTGCCCTCTTCTACCCACACCTTGATTCTGGCATGATCTGTGCAGGCAGCTTCCATGAGCTGAAGGATTCCAGCCAGGTATGGGGAGGGCACACGGGGCTCTCTGGGAGCAGGAGCTGCTGGCATGGGCACAGCCAGGTGCCAGGGCAGGTGACAAGGATTTGATCACAGTTCCCATAAGGAATGGCTCTCTGGATGTCCTGACACCACCCACAGTCCGAGCTCAGCACCAGGGGTGGAGCCCCAGCTCAGGGCAGCCCCTTCAGCCGGGTGGGATATGGGGCAGGAATGGAGCCACGGGGCAGGGAGGAATCAGGGAGAAACCTGTTACCACAGGGAAGAGGCCTCTGAAATCAATCTCATCTCTCCCCAGGGAGATTCTGGTGGCCCCCTGGTATGTAATAAAGTGGCACAGGGCATTGTTTCCTTTGGCTACAACTCCCCACCCGGGGTCTACACCCGCATCTCCAACTACCTGCGCTGGATCAAAAAAGTCATGAAGAAGTAGCAGCAGTGGCAGCACTTTCTCCAGCTCTGGTGTGGCCCTGGAGACTGCAAATAGCTTCCTTCCTGCCCCTGCTGAAGGCTCAACTCCCTCCTTTCTCCTCAAGAGCCCAAACGACCTGATCAGAGCACTTGAGGGTCCCCTTCATTCTGTTCTGAGTCTGCTGCCTGACCCATTCCCTGCCCGTCCCAGGCCTGTGTTAAATCACCCTGGCAGAAGCAGGGATGGCCCCAGATGGCACAAAAAGAGGCTGTGCCCCAACAGACCCCACTTCCTTCAGAGATAACCCTGTTCCTGCTTTAACCTTGCTGCACTTAAAGCACCCACAGTAAACTCAGAGCTGCATCTCCCAGCGTGTGTTGTCTTTCTTGTGGTTCTGCAGGAGGGAGGGTCTGGCTGCCAGGCCAGCAGCAATCACAGCTCAGCATCCTGAATCACTGGCAGGCTCAGAAACAAGAGGTATGGTTGCTCATCCTGGGGTCACAGGGATGATGAGGAGAAAAACTGCCCAGGTAGAAATGTTCTGGGAAAAATGATGGGCACACATCCCCTCGCCAACTTCAGCATCCCTGTCGCCCTCCTGGGAGCACAGGCAGCAAGGGTGGGGGGCATTAGCAGTGACCAGGACCCCAAAGCTGTCATTCTCTGCAGACTAAGAGCTG